AAGAATGTAAATCCACAGCTTGTAATCAGGGCCTGGCGAGCTCCCGGAAGGTACTGAATCTACACTGAAAGGCGAATGGTGTTAGAGATCCCAGAGGCCCTGAAAGCTGTGCTTTAGGAGGTGTAACAATAGAAATAATCATTGAAGAAACTTTGCTTGTTTTAACAGAGATTCTGAAGTAGGAGAAATGAATTTAAATACTGTGATATATCAATGGGAATGGAAATTTAGACATGATTTTTTTCAACAAAGGAGATTGGGGAAAGAATTAAGTGATATACATCATAGTGCTCTTGAGTTTCTAGTTTAAAATGGAGAAATACAGCACTTATAAAGACATTTTGTTGAAATACAGTGTATGTACCGGGAAATGCACTCAGGTGTGAAGATAAGGGAGATTTTGGTTCTTTGATCAAACTTACAACTAACCATGAAAGTTGAGAAAAATGAAAAAAAGTGTGGTTTTTGGGAAACTTAGAAATAATGAGATTGACACTGGAGAAAGCTTGTGTTAGATACAATTTTGTTCCTCTAAATGTCTCATATTATAATCTTTAAAAAGCCTGTTTTGCTTGAAAGAGTGAGGGAGAAAACATTCTCGGCTACTTACTCCCCAGATGCTTACAGCAGCCAGGGCTGTGATTGGCTTAAGCAGAGACCTGGGAAATGAACACAAGCTGGAAAAGGAAAGCACAGGTCTCCCATGTGGTGGTGTACATGTTACAGGGGCCATTTTTGCTCCCCTGCGTTGGAGGGAAGCTGGAGGTAGGAATCCCAGATCTTCTGAGGTGGGACATGGGCATCTTTACCACTGGGCTAGGAGTGCTTTCCCCAGGGACAATCTTTAAAGTAGTAACTAAGACAGACTGAAGGCCTTAAGCTGAGCACTACCTGACTTGGGACTTTACAAGAAGATAAAATGAGGGAGACACAGATACACGTGGGAGATGAGATTAAGAGATGGAGGGAAGATGATCATCAGGGGAGTCCTCAGGAGAAGCCATCTCTACTGACCTGGATCTCACAATTTTGGCCTATTCCTGTTCCCTGTGAAAAAACAAAATTTTATAGCTTAAACTGTTCTGTATGTGGTGCTTTGTCATGGTGGCCCAAGGGAATTAATGCAGCATCGTAGCATATGATACGAGATGTCGACTGAGGAATGAGACGTGAATTTTCCTTGAAACCAATAGAGGGAGAGCTATTTAAACTGAAAACTGGGTGTGAGATAAGAAAAACATAACTGTAGCTAGTAATGACACTGAGATACATATGGCCAGAGCAGATGGTGTGTAGATTTCATGCTAATGGAAAACAAGCAGGTCAGGGATTCTAAAAGCTATCACAGGTCAGATAAAGATTAAAAATAAAAGTTAATGACCACGGGGGGAGGGTAAGAGGAGGGGAAGGGGGAACATCAGAGACTATGAAACATTGTTATAAAATTAAATGCAAAAAAAAAAGTTAATGAGAGAAAATGAGAGGATCCTTAGGTGTTTTAAACAATAAGGCTTCAAAGATGTTTCATGATTTGTCAGTAAGCTTAAAAACATATTTAATGGAATTCTGATGCTGGACAATGGATGAATGGATAGGAATACAAAGAGTAGGTGTAATATCCTGTATCCTAAAGTTTGGTGGATTGCTGGGGGTTACATATGGTTTTAGTGTTCCTCCCCAACCCACCCCTGCCCATGACCTTGTGTTTTGTTATTTAATTCTAGCTTTGAGTTAGTGAGGGTGTAAAAATGTATTCTGACTGTGGTATTTAAAGATGGTGGCTAGAGGAAGGTTATCGGCTCAACTGCAGTGTGGTTTTAAGGTATCCAACACTAGTATTTCTCCTTGGACACTAATTAATTATTTCAAAAATATCCTTATGAGATCATGAACTAAGCCCCACACAGTGTCTCTCTGGCTTCTGAGATGTGATTACTCCTTGCCTTACACGTTTCTACCATTACCCTTGGCTGTGGTCAGGCAGTCTAACGGAAACTCCTAAGAGACTCTTTGGCATACAGTCACGAAGTCAGATCTCCAAAATTGAGGTAAATAGAACCTCGTTTTCTTCATGAATGGCCTGCCTCAAGTATTTTGTTACATCAACTAAAAACTAGTATAGTGGTGAAATGAACAAACAGCCCTTAGTAAAAGCTAGAGGACAGAGTGAATCCATTCGGTGATTGACAGCACAAGGCATGTGGGATTTGATGGAGAACAAGCATTGGGATGACACAGAGTCATTGGTGTGTGGAGGCAAGGCTATGGAGAAACTAAGCAAAGGCGGCATTGGCACAGGGGAGAAGTAAGCAGAGAGGAGGCAGCAAACATTTCTCCAAAAGGTGGAAAAGGACAACGTAGGCTCTGAGCATTCTCAAAATTTCCCTATGAAAATAATGTCCTAAGAAAAAGTCTCCTAACTGGTTTGTTGGAAAGTCTCACATACGATGGCATGTGCTCTTTGAGATGCATGAGCTGGAAACATCCGAAAACGCTGAGTAACTTCCCTGGACCTCTGCACCCACGTACGAGACACCATAAGCAATTAATGAAATAATTCATGGAAGACAGGTACAAAGAAATAAAACAGGGCATTAGTTATTATTTCCAGGAGTCTAGCCTCTAAACTGCTGAGTGAAACCTTAAGCATCTGTTTCTAAAAACCTGTTTGTGTATGTATTTGACTAAAGAATTTTCTAGATGTGATGATAATTATATGAATATAAAACAATGAAAAGGTACATTTTTAGAACTTCTGACTTTTGTATGTATAAATTAAAGTTTCTAATTTGGATATGTTGTTTTTTTAAGAAAAATATACAGAAGAAATGATAGTGTAACATGCGCATTTAATTATATATATATGTCTGTTAGACATATATAAGTATGTATATATATACATATACATATATATATGTGTGTGTGTATATATATATATTATTTAAGTTCTAAAGCTGTGGAGGGCCCAGTGCAGTGGCGCGGTGGTTAAAGGTCCTCACCTTGCATGCCCGGGAGGGATCCCATATGAGCGTCGGTTCTATCCCGGGGGCCCCACTTCCCTTCCAGCTCCCTGCCTGTGGCCCAGGAAAGCAGTCGAGGACGGCCCAAAGCTTTGGGACCCTGCACCCGCGTGGGAGACCCGGAAGAGGCTCCTGGCTTCGGGCCGGCATAGTATCGACCCGTTGCGGCTCACTTGGGGAGTGAATCATCGGACGGAAGATCTTCCTCTCTGTCTCTCCTCTCTGTATATCCGCCTTTCCAATAAAAATAATAAAAAAATAAATCTTTAAAACTGTGAAACATTTTAGATATGTGTCCCTGTGTCTTTTCCAAATAATCTCCAATTTTAACCAAATATAATTATTTACAAAACTCTGCATAATTTCAATCTTCTCTGAAATAAATGAAGCATTCTTTGTGTTGCCTTTCCCTCTTCTTGAACAAATGCCTTGCAAATTTGCACAAGGACTTTATGTCTTAATGGAAGTATTTTACTTAAGTCCCCCCTCGTTATTCATAATAATTCCAAATGATATCTTCCAAGTAACTATTTATTAACTTGTGTAGGAAGAGGAGCAAGAGAATACAAGTTTTCTGAATTTTAGTTCCTCATAGAACACCAACGACTCCTTAGAATTATTGGTGTGGTGTAATTTAAAGATTTCCATGACTGGAGCAATGGCATAGCCCATTAATCCTCCTCCTATAACAATGGAATACTATATGGGTACTGGTTCAAGTCCTGACTGCTCCATTTCCAATCCAGCTCCTGGGAAAGCAGCACAGGATGGACTAAGGCCTTGGGTCCCTGCACCAACATGCAAGATGCGAAAGAAGCTCCTGCTACCGGCTTCATCTCAGCTCTGGTTGTTGCTCAATTTGAGGAATGAACCAGCAGATGGAAGCTGTTTCTGTCTCTTTTTGTTTCCATGTATCACTTTCAAGCAAAATAAACAAATCTTTAAAAAAGTGTTGAATCAGCCACATTGCCATGTGTACGATTCGTCCAGTCCTTCCTCTTTCATCCTCTGCACTTCGATTGCTTTCTGGTCAGCATCACTCCTTGAAGGGCCATGGAGAGCTGACAGCTGCAAAGCTGAATCTCCTTATGTTAGTGTCGAGCAAACAATGGACTAGCAGTCATGTACTTGACTCTATGAATATATTTATTTACAAAGCTAGAGTGGAAATTTTGAGAAACAGCCTGCCACATTTGCATTGACTCTGTTCCTCATAGTTCTGCGTTTGATTCTCATCCTATCAATAATCTTGCTTTCTCCTTTTCCCGTTTTTAATTTCTACAAGGTTATTGTCAATGTCAGAAAATGTAAACCTCAAGCATAATTGAATCGTACTTGGCATGTGTGTGAGGAGGAAAGAAGTTGACTTAATGAAAAAAGGCTAAAGCATTCATTCAAACTAAGTTAATTTGATTACATAGGGAAAAGTTTACCTTCTCTGGCAGTTTTGATTGAATTTTAACAAAAATTAAAATTTGCTGCTAAACTCGAATTATCCTTCGACCAACAACACTTCCCAGCTTGGCTTGTGAGCTAAAGTGCCTGTCAGGTAGAGGAATGTCTTCGTTGGAAGCAGTTAAAATCACCAAAAGTGAATGACCCGTGGGGACAAGTAGAAATCTCCCAATTTTGTCAGAAACCCTTTCACTGTTTGGAAATTGTACAGCTCAACTCATACACTGAGGGATGACGGGAAGGGCTCCTTGGGCTTCACGGGACTCCCCCGATTTCAGCAAACCTGCAACACCAGAAACAATAAGATATGCATTGTATTTATTTCAGCTTGTCGTTGCTGGGAATGGTTGGTGGAAAGGTTAGTCCTAAAGACGTGTCTGGCATTCCCACTCCGTGCAGCAGTGATTCTCTGCATCTTCTAACCCTACCCTCTAGAGAAATACAATGATTCTCACGTGATAAGTGACATTTGATTTAGTGGCTCATCTCCTGTCTTGTAATGATTACCCATCTTCTTTCTTGTAGCTCTCGGCAGTCGGAGGACAACTGACATTCACTATATCCTATGACCTCGAGGAAGAAGAAGAAGACATCGAACGTACCCTCCAGCTTCTGATCATCTTAGAGGTAGAGTCCTTGAGCCATTCTTCATGTCCATCCATTTGGAATCTTTATCTGGTTTGATTTGGGCGTGCTACTTTTGACATGGGCAAGTTTGTTGTTATATTAACATCAGCTATACTACTGTGGAAAATGTACCTTAGTATTTTTTATTCTTCCACACTTCACTGTTAGATATATTGAAGAAGCCAAGAACAGTTACCGAGTCCTCATTACGAAAGGTGGCCCATACACCAAATTTGTAATTAAAATTTAGAACATAATGGCAATGTTTCCAAGAATGCACACATGACAATATTTAAGTGAATGTATGTTTACATAGTTATATATTTCCATCTCCCCTGAACTTTTGTTGATTTTAGGCAGAAGTAAATGAAAAAACAAAATTGATTTACTTCAGTTTATTTTTTGCTTTAACATCCTAATTTAGGCAAAAAAAAAATGTATAGGACAAATTCCTTTCAACACACGGAGCTCATAGAAATTTCCCATGTGGAAAACATGTAGGTATCATAGATACTGTCTTTCATATGTTTTTTTTTCCCCGTAGCTTATACTCTCAAACTCAAAGACGCATCCTTGCAAGCCTGTTATCATTCCAAGTGAATAGGTGTTATTTTGTCATCAGGCTGTTGTGTACTTTGTCTTGAATCTTTTATGAGAATCAGTGAGAAAGTTCCAAAATGCCTCCCTAGAAATGAGTGTTTTCCAGGGTTGGATAATGAGGTGGTCGGATAGAAAACTATCATTTCAGCTTGGGATTCATTAAGCATAAAGGGATTCTCTGGGTGTCAAATGTGGGCAAGTTACATATCATTCTTACAAATGCAGGAAGAAATGTATGCTGTATATGTCTGTGGGCTCGAATGTCATGAACCGCTTGTGACTTTGAACGCAGGCCTTTTCTTCATTTGCGTTTCCCCATTTGTAAGAGTCTTTTCAAAGGATAGCTTAATTAACTGAAATTTCTTTTTCAATGTCCTTTACAACCTTTACCCATTAGAAAATAATGCATTTCAAGTGCATAATGTTGTCATGTATTAAAAAATCAAGCATCTTGTAATTTTAATTCTTGTAATTAATGCATATTTACAGGTTGCCAACTATTATTATTGTAGAGCTCATGGGGAGAGCAAGGTCATTGAAGTTCAAGAAACTTATACTTTGTATTGTGTCTGGCTAAGACTAATGCTTCCATTGCGTGGCCCTCCCTGTATGGATACGAGAAACACACTTAATGATAAATTCAGCTAGAATTAAACACCCGTTGAGGTACCCTATACTCTGTCAGAGCCTCCTAGTTTTAGCTCTTAACACTTTCTCCTTTTAGGGACATGGCTTGAGAATCAGCACAGCCCAAGAAGAAGTCTACCTTCAACCATCTGAAGAGCACGTTCACGTACTGTTGCTTAAAAGAGAATCATTTCACAGATATGACACACGTATTCCAATCAACAGAAGAGAATTTATGACAGTGCTGGCAAATGTGAAGCGAGTCCTGATACAGATCACATACAGCTTTGGGATGGATGCCATCTTCAGGTAAAAGCAAGAACTGCATCTCCCCTTGCTCACAGGTTCATCATTAGGCAAACCTGCACTGGCTAGGATAGTTTAAATCTCTAGATTTATGATCTTCACATAGCAAATAGGAATAAACAGCATTTTTCTGAATGGTATCCCTAACATGCCGTCAGTATGTTAAATGTAAAGAATAGATTTCTTTTGTTGCTTAATGTACTTGATGGCTCACTAGCTGTGTTGCCATAGCTTTTAGGGGGAAAAATGTTTCCTATATGGAAAATACCATCCTAGAAATTAAAGTTTTCTTCACAGTGGCTTAGATTGTGGGAATCATACAAGATTTAATTTTGGAAGTCCTATATACAAAGAGTTGTTTACTATGTATTTTGTTCCATTAATTCACTCGCTAGAATTTGACAGAACAATATATAATTTAGGATAAGACATGTAAACCTCTTCATTCGCTCTTTTTCATCTTTGCTCTTTATAAAACACTGAATGACCATAATAACTACATGATATAGAGGAGAGAATTTTTGGAGGGCCCAGCACAGTGGCCTAACAGCTGAAGTCCTTGCCTTAAACGTGCCGGGATCCCATATGGGCACCGGTTCCAATCCCAGCAGTTCCACTTCCCATCCAGCTCCCTGCTTGTGGCCTGCGAAAGCAGTCGAGGATGTCCGAAATCCTTGGGATCCTGCACCTGCATGGAAAACCTAGACAAAATTCCTGCCTCCTGGCTTCAGATCTGTACAGCACTGGCCTTTGAGGTCACTTGGGGAGTGGATCATCAGACGGAAGTCTTCCTCGCTGTCTCTACTCCTCTCTGTATATCTAACTTTCCAATAAAAATAAATAAATCTTAAAAACAAAAAGTTTTGGAGCCAAACTGATCAGTAAGCTGTGGACCGTATTAGATGTGAGCTTTCTCAAGCATTGGTTTTTGAATGACTCAACTCCTGCAAGTACAAATTGGAGAGAATAAGGCCTACCATACAGAGTCCTCGTGAAAGTGATATGTGATAATTACATGAACTGATCATTGCCTAAACACTTCGCTGCAATAGCGTCTTCTCATTTTTCATTATGTAAAGTGACAATTCCTCTGTTTGAGCACAATATTGCCTATATCCAACTGACTCTAGGTTACTATTTCTGTCTTTAAAACAATGATTTTTTGCCTGAAAACTTAAAAAATTTATTTATCTATTTATTTGTTCATTCATTCATTAAAAAGAGAGACAGACATGGAAAGAGAAAGATCGCCCATCTAGCTAAATCACTCATCATGACATCAGCAGTTGGGACGGGGTCAGATACTGAAGGCGACACTGAATCCAGGTCTCCCACGTGCATGACAGGGACTCCTGCCTCCGGAGGTGCACAGCAGCAGAATGCTGGATCCAAAGCATAGCACTGTGATTCCAACCAAATACTCCAGTGTGGATGCAGGGACCCAACCATGCTATGTTGACTGCTGCAACAGCCACCTGCCTTTGTTTTGATAGGATTTTAATCTGAATGCTTAATGAGCTCTTGTTAAAAAATGTATTTATTTTTATGAAAAGTTAAATATACAGAGAGAAGAGACAGAGAGGAATATCTTTGTACACTGATTCATTCAACAAGTGGCCGCAATGACTCGTGCTGAACCAATCTGAAGCCAGGAGCTAGGATCTTCTTTCGGGTCTCCCACAAGGGTGCAGAGTCTCAAGGCTTTGGGCCGTCCTTGACTGCTTTCCCAGGCCACAAGCCGAGATCCATAAGGAAAGTGAGGCTGCTGGGACACGATTTGGTGCCCATATGGGATCCTGGTGTGCAAGGAGAGGATTTTACATATTAGGCTACCATGCCAGACCCAGGAGCTCTTTTTTCCTTCTGCTGTTCTACTCTAATGTACAAGATATAATGGGATGTTTTACCTATATCCAAGCAAGTTGGATGATCAGACGTGACTCCCACCTGACAACTTGGCATACTCTAATCAAAGCAATGTCTCCAATATTGTGTTTATTTTATTGCTGATATTTTCCGCTTACATCATTTGCTTGTACTGCCTAGTTTCACTTTCACTAGTAATATTTCAACTAAGTATAATCATTATTACAATTTCCCAAAGGGGAGAATTACAGATTTGTAAACAGAGCCACTGCCAAACAATACTTCTCTTTTGCATAGGCAATTCTGCTAGGAGCTGGGTTAAACATGCCGTGAAGATGAGAGCAGCACTTAGGAACTAATTATGTTTTTCCCATTTGTAAATAGAGATTGTCATGATGTTTACACAGTACAAGGAGATGAGTCCTCTAGCTTTCAAAATGAATGACAAGCAAATTTGACCAAGTGGCTAGAGGCTTTTTCATTTTTTATTTAATTAATTTTTTTTGTCAGATTTGCTTCTCAGACGGATTACTCTAAAAACATTTCCTCCTGATTTATGTCAGACAATTTCAGTATCTGCTTCTCTTACAATCACTGATTTCAGTTTGATGTCTTCTGAGATTATGCAATACAAGGGTGATGCACTCCGGGCGTGGGCGGCGTGTGCTGACACAAGGGCTTTTTCTGTCACCTCTCGCAACAGATCTCTGATTCAGGAAGAAAAAAAAAAAAACCAGTGTCAAATCTAAAACTCTTGCCCTCTTTGGATGAACTGAAAGCACGAATTCTGAATCAGCCAGCTTGTTGTATTTTATTCATCTCTGAACTAGACACAGGAGATGGACCCTTATTTGTAAAAGATCACTGGGATTGATTTCAACTTGTCCTGCACAGTCGGCTTCTGACTGGGTGTACTGTTTGTGCGCAAGTGCGAGCAAATGGAAGCTATCACAGCAAAATTTCAGGTTTAAGACATTTAGAGAGGATCTGCTTCTGTGGTTGTTTCTGCAGTGGATGAGCTTAGATTTTCCAGTTGCATGGTTTGATGGAATTGAAGCGTTGAGGGAAACTTGAGCTGCAGGTCAAGGATTTTGAATTTTGTTTTCAATTCAGCTATTTAGTAGTTGTTGGCCTAAGCATGGCTTTGACCTCTGTGGACTCCAGTCACTTCTGTGAAATGAGGAGGAAGACAGTTGCTGTGCTGGCTTTTACGAGGTCGCTATAAGAGAGGAATTAAAGGGCTTCCAGATCGTTTTGTGCATGGCGAGTCAGAATACAAACATGAAGTGTTCCATGGAGCTCACCTCATTCCAAAGGATAGTTTCTCTTCGAGTAGCCTGAAGATTTGGAGATATCAAATAAGACACAATTTCTATTTCCATAGTTATGGCAGTTACACAGCTAGTCTTTTCCAGAAGGCTGAGAGAGCCATTAAATGAAATTTATTACTTTTCCTTTTACTATTCTCACACATGAGCTAAAAAGAAAAATAGAATACTTTGCATTCTTCTTTTAAGAATGTAAGAGAAATCAACTTAGCAAAACTGTATAGCGTTCTTTATTGGGTTTTCTAAATCTTGAGTTTTATGACTGCTTTGATTTTGAATTCAGGAAACCTTGATCTTCAAGTACCTATTAAATACAGAAGTATGTCCCAAAAGTAGCTTCCTTTCTCCTTATCAGACACATTAAAATCACCTGATTTTCAGTGTCATCCTTTGAAGATACTGTCTTTTTCTAGTCCTTGAGAATAGGTATAATCATATGACTTGGGTTAGCCAATGAAATATGCACACAAACAAGGTGTCTTTAGTATTTTTTTTCCCCCTGAAGTACAACATTGAATCGCCACTGTGAAAGTTTCTGGAGTTTATTCAGCAAGCAGAAGATCAAAACACCCCAAAACCCTGACAGCACGGGGAGGTCAGCCGCACTGGGGGTTTAGATCTTTGGCTTGCCGAACAAAGACCGCCTTGTGTAGAGTCCCCTCCAGGCGCAGGGCACCACTGAGCATTTGGAAATGTCAGCACAGTGTAACCAAGCCCGTTAGAAATTTCTCCTGATATAGATCATATGTCTTTATGGCCTAAAAATCAATACACAGTGTTTTTCAGGCAAAATATTTGCACATATATTTGAAAGGGGAAAAAAATACCTTTTTTTTTTTATATTTTGAAAGATTTTACAGAAATTGTGTTAGAAGTAGTCTAAAAAAGTCCATGCAAATAAAGAACTCTTACGGTTGTGGCAATGGACGCCCAGAATGCTTCTTCCTTTGGAATTTAATGAGCCAGGTAACCATGTTTTGAGGAAAGTATGCTGATTATGACGTTGAAGCTTGAGGGAATTCACACACCACGCTCTGAGCCAGCCAGCAGGCGAGGCCTGCGTGTGCTTGCTGTTAATTATCTTTGCTTCCCAAGGATATTCTGTAAACATTTAATGAGCACCTTCCACGTGTATCTCATTAAATTTCAGTTTTTATCTTCTGTAAAATGGCAGGGAAAGATCTCTACATTCAAGATCAAAGAGGAAGTGATCACATACTGTATAGAAAAGACTTTAGGGCACCTCATTCACTGTCTCACATAATTGGGAGGCAATAAATGATACCTAGACGACCAGTGGCTTTGAGATCATAATTGGCTTCAAATCTGTGCTGCATCAGGTGCTGGGTGGATTATTCTGAGCCCTGTATTTTGTGTACTATTTATTTGTGAATATACGTAAAACACAGTTTCTTTGGTGGATTTCGTTATAGTTACATGACATATCTTTCAAGCCTCCATTATAGAGCACCAAAAACAACAGGTAATAAGGGCCAACTATTATGGGGTGATAGTTTTAGGCCACCCAATAGGGATACAATAATAGAGAGATTATTGCATTCAAAGTATAGTCTCAGGGAAGGCAGATAGACACAATTAAAATATAGTAGGTAGTTTGGGCCTGGCGCAGTAGCATAGTGGTTAAAGTCCTCGCCTTGAACACGCTGGGATCCCATATGGGCACCAGTTCTAATCCCAGAAGCCCCGCTTCCCATCCAGCTCCTTGCCTGTGGCATGGGAATGCAGTCGAGGATGGCCCAAAGCTTTGGGGCCCTGCACCCACGTGGGAGATCTGGAAGAGGCTCCTGGCTTTGGACTGGCTCAGCTCCAGCCTCGTGGTCACTTGCGGGGTGAATCATCGGACTGAAGATCTTCCTCTCTGTCTCTCCTCCTCTCTGTATTTCTGCCTTTCCAATAAAAATAAATAAATCTTTAGAAAATATAGAGCAGGTAGTTGGATAGAAGTGTACACAGTTTACATTAGAAGGAGAAGGGAGGAAGCCATGAGTTCTTATGTAAGCGTTTTATATATGTGCCGTTTTGCATAAAATTTCTTCAGAATCAGAATCTATCAGTTACTTCCCTTACTTAATGTGGGACTCACACTGGAGGAACCATCGCTGCCTCTCCGATCCTCCCTCACCCACGCACTCCTAGAGGACACATGATCGATCTTTTTCTCTGTCTCTCTCTCCTTTCTTCCCATCCTCCCTGCCTCCCCTCTCCTCTCTTCTCTCTCTCCCACTGTTTCTCCCTCTCTTGCCTTCCCATTGCTGTTGTGCCATTGAAATGAGTACAAAAATAAATAAATACAAAAACATAATATATTGTTTTAATGGGGCAGGCATTGTGGTGCAGTGGGTGAAGCTGCTGTCCAGGATACCCACATCTCCGATCAGACACCTGGATTGAATCTCACCTACACCACTTCTGATTCTGTTTCATGGTCATGTAATCCTGGGATATAGGACATAAAGACTCAAGTGGTTGAGTCCCTTCCACCCACATGGGTGACATGGTTGAAACTCTGGGCTTCTGGCCTGACCGGTCCTCAGCTATTGTGAGCACTTGGGGAGTGAACCATTGATGAAAGAGCTCTAGCTGCCTCTCTCGCACCCTGCCTTTGCAATGCCTAAATAAGCAAAAACCATCAGTGGCCTCAGCATTGAGCTATAGCAATTTAAAACACTTGGGCCCGGCGCGGTGGCACAAGTGGTTAAAGGTCCTCACCTTGCCGCCCGGGATCCCATATGGGCGCCGGTTCTAATCCCGGCAGCCCCGCTTCCCTTCCAGCTCCCTGCCTGTGGCCTGGGAAAGCAGCAGAGGACGGCCCAAAGCTTTGGGAACCTGCACCCGCGTGGGAGACCCGGAAGAGGCTCCTGGCTTCGGATCGGCATAGTATCGGCCCGTTGCGCTCACTTGGGGAGTGAATCATCGGACGGAAGATCTTCCTCTCTGTCTCTCCTCTCTGTATATCTGCCTTTCCAATGAAAAAATAATAAAAATAAATCTTTAAAACACTGCCTGTGATGTTGGCATCCAAATGGATGCCAGTTCATTTCCTGGCCACTCCATGTTAAGCCCATCTCCCTGCTAGTGAGCCTGGAAAAGCAGCAGAGGACAGGCCAAGCCTCCAGGTCCTTACACCTGCTTCCTGGCTTCTGTCTGCCTAGTCCTGGCTGTTCAGGGAATGAGCCAATAGATGGAAGAACATAGTCCTTCTGTCTCTTCCTCCACTCTGTCTTTCAAAAAATAAAATCAACATTATCAAGCTAATAACACTTTGTGTAATTTTCACCAGACAGAGTCTAGAAGAAGTCCTGATTCATCTTAGGTTTTGACAAAAGCAAAAATACTTTCACAGGATTAAAAATATTTGTGGTCATTCGACCAAAGTGATATCCTGTTAAATGGAATACATTAGAGATCTTTGAGATGAAAAAAAAAATGGTGGGTAGAACAGAAACAATTAGTTAAGAGCTTTGGTGCCAAATCATAATGTGTCATAGTGGCTATTTCATGGGAGGCTGACATATAAAACTCTGATGGGATATGTTAAAGCAGAACACGTACAGTAAGCTTTACATTAGTACCACGTCAGTGTTTTAAGGTAATTTCAGTGTTTTCCATAGCTGCTCAAATAATTACCTCATTTCTATTGATTCATCAGAGTATCTGATTTTTTCCAAGTCATAAAATTAATGAGAAGTAACCAACTACAGCATTTGACTTATTTCACAGATCTTTGATAGTTTATGCATTTCCAAACTTCAGTACTTAATTGCTGTCAAAAGTATATATTTAAATGAATGCAGTCACATTTCAAAAAAATAAAATGACCATATTGAAAGAAAAAAATAATCTGTAGCTTTCTCATGAATAATACTTAAAACTGTTAAATGCATTAAAATCCCATTTAACAAGTAACAGAACCTAATGAACACTGAAACAGCTAGCTGAATACTAATATGGAATATGACTGAGAAATACATCTCAGTGTGGAAATTTCTCATTGCCCAAAATGGTTACACAGATTAAGGAGAAGAACACCTGTTGTTAAAAAGACAAATGATATTTGGCATTTCCCGGAAAATATTTTTAAATTTCTGTTTTCAATTCTTCCTTAGTCAAGCATTCATTTTTTCATCTTGAAACTTACAATATTTCTTCCTTAAGGTTTGCATGTCTTATTAATCAATATTATTGTTTAAATTATTATAATTATTTTATATGGAAAAATTGAGCAGATAAAGGAATTCCTCACTTCTACTCTCCTTCCTCATTTTCCGTCCCACCATTTCCCCCGTATTGTCACAACACTAAAGTCCTTTCATAACAGTTACAAGTTCAACATTCTGCTATTTAAGTGCTTCATGACATTACAGTTATAGGAAAAGATATAAAATCCAGTCCTATATTAAAAAGATTTATTTTTTATTAGAAAGGCAGATTTACAGAGAGAATGAGATACAGAGAGATCTTCCGTCCGCTGGTTCACTCCCACTAGAGCCTGCAGAGGACGTGTGGTACAGGGGCAGGGAAAGAGGGCAGAGCGGGCTGATCAACTACCCAGCCAAGCAATAGAGGTAAAGATCTGTGCAGATGGAGACTTAAAGTTGAACTATGTCAGCTAAGGTTTCCTCAACCTTAGAGCGGTTAGAACAACAGCATTTCAAAATGATCAGACCTGCCTAAGCAGAGCGCTCAGAGCGTGCTCCACACTGGGGACCCTGGGACAGAATCATGTCGCCATCCCCGGTCCTGGGTACTGAGGCAGCTGAGAAGTTGATGTGCCTTCTCTCCTTATCCTCTTTCCCCAGACAGAGGAAGAAGAAAAAGAAAAATGTGGAAGCAATGGTCTCACCCACTTTCTGCTAACTCTTCCTACCTTCATCAACAATGTGAACATTATTAAAAAACAGAAAAGCATGTTTAGGGATGGTAAAGGTTTGGGGTGGAAGCCATAAAGATTTAGAAACTGAAGATTTACAGCTTGGTTAAATGTCGTTTTTGAGCAAGCATTAAAAGTTTCTAGTGAGCTCTTTATTTTATTCTCTGGTTTGATTGCAACATGGACTCTCCAGGCTAGCAAGGGTCTTTATTAAGTATAAATCACAGATAAATGAAAGACACCTTTACTCTTGAGAAACAGACTGACAAGGCACGCCCTAGGAAAAGTCACTTGGTCAAAGAAGTATAATGGTTATGAAGTTATGATGGTCTATCAGTCATATTAAAATCAATAAATATAAGAGTAGCCATTTAGTTTTATGATGTTAAAGTTATTTAAAGCTTACGTTCATATATTAATATGTCCTGGGGCTATAAATAGCATTTCTGATACTAGTCTTGAAATTTTTGTCCTATTTCAGCAATCACTGAAAATAATTTAATAAAATATCTAGTATTATTATAATCAACCACATATTAAATCCTATGTTTAGAGCTTGTGTTTGTAGTTTCATTTAATTATTTTACCAAAGCTCATGATGTATGGACTACTATATATCTCCATTTTATAGATGGCAAAGAATCATTTTTTGCTAGTTTATAAGGCTTGTAAATATACACAGGATCAAATTTTTGTCTATTTCATTCCTGATATTTTCTTTCTTAATAATTAACTTTTAAATTTTTTTCTTTTATAAAATAATGGATAACCACGTATAAGACACTAGTAATAAGTATTTAAATTATATATATGCAAATGCATATGTGTATATATACATATGCTTATCTATATAATGAGTTGTGCTTGTATCTGTATGCTCTATAAAAAGTTGTTTCAAATTTTCAATTTTGCCCAAACAATAATTTCTATAACATAGTGACTAATGATAAGTTAATATGCTGAGCTCATCAGATTATATAAAAATGCCAATAAAATGAAGCCCACAGTTCCACAGAAGTATACATTTAAGTCAAAATTGAAGACATGATTCTTACTGAAGTATACAGATTTGTCTCTGAGAAACAGAAAACAAAATTTCTTCCATTGTCTCTTTCAGCTTAAAACCTGAAGTAATTGAATATTACCAAGTCTCCTGCTTTTCTTGTCTAAATGTTAATATAAAAAAATTCATGACAGTGTTTTCTGTTTTAAGAATCCTTTCAACTTTCTGCCACCTGTTTGAAAAAACAGTAAAATTACGTAGCCAAGAACCAAGAAATGAGCATTCTCGTATTTTTGCATCATTTGATGGTGATGGTAACTGTCAACTTTTAAATATATATATATTTCTTTGAAAGCAGGAGTTATGGAAAGTGGGGAGAGGTGTGAAGATTTTCTCCTCTGCTGGGTTATTCCCCAAATGACTGCAAAGGAAAGGGTTGGGTTAGGATGAAGCCCTGAGCCTAAACTCCGTCTGTGTCTGCCTTGTGGATGCCAGGGGGATGAGTACCTGGACCACTGCCAGCTGTTTTTCCAGACATCTTAGTAGGGCACTGCTGTTCCACCAGCAGAGCAGCCAGAACTGGAACCTTGCCTCATACAGGTTGCCTGCATTCCAGATGCTGACTTAACCTGCTGGGCCACCAAGCCAGCTTGTCAGCGTTTTTCGTGGAGCAGACTTTGAATAATGTATGAGATGATACGCTTCTTCAGGTTGTGGATAGTTATTATCCTTATTTCTCCATGCAGCTAGTGGCATGCCTCCAGATGTACAGCGTAACAGGGCATATTTTCCTAATTACCCACACTTCTCTGTTCTCCAGGTTGAGCTCCGTTAACCTGGAATCTGCAGTCGCCTACCCTACCGATGCAAGTGTTGCAGCAGCTGTGGAAATGTGTCAGTGCCCACCAGGGTACAGTGGCTCCTCGTGTGAAGTAAGTTTGCAAGAATGTCTTCTTACTGCATTCTAAGTCCCACCAACATTGCTGTCAAAAAATCATTCACAGAAGCGTCTTATTTTCTGTCGATATTTGTACAAGCAAGTGATAGAGAAATATGAATGTCTGCTGAAGTGTGGCTTCCAAAGGGAGTGCAAACCACATAATGTTATCCTGAAATTGTGTTTTTTTAATCAGTGTTTGCTTTAGCAGAAAATGTAGTTCCATGAATGATTTTCCCCATGGAAAGGCTTGCATGATACATGATAAAAGAGTAATATTCTAACATATTTTCCTTCATGTCCATTTGAGTGGTTATCTGGAAATTGGCACATTTTAAAAATTTTGTTTAAGTTTTCCAATTTTTTGATCCCATATAACACATTTTGCTTTACTGTACTCCTAGAAATTTCAAGTTCAATCAACTAAGTATGTAATTTTCAGAATGCAAAAATATAGTAAATAGAAGAAATGCCTTGCTCTAAAAATTTTCTGAGATCTTTGATTTATGTAACAACTAAATAAATCAGATACATGTTGTTTTCTTAATATTTTTAACATATAATAGCTTAAAATTTTAACTTAATACTACCATGTATCACTTCAAGATACTAATTTGAGGAACTTATATGTACTTTAGATAATTATAAAATTTATTAATTTAAAACCTGGTGAACATTATTTCCTTGATAGGAGGCATAATTTTCAAACAAGAGATTGTGTAAGCTCATGCTTGTAAGGAATCATCTGAGTATATCAGAATGTCTACCACATTTCAGAATACTACCACATTATACCATTTATTGAAATACCCTAGGCATTTCTCTGTCATTTCTCTTTACCTGGAAATAATACATTCCACTGGAGAAGGTGCACGGTGTGGTCACATGCATGACTCACCTGGATAGAAAAGAAACCATGTAGTATCCATGGCCATACTTACTAATCTAAACTTCATACTGAAAAGATATTCAAAATATTCCTATTTAGGTAGATTGGCCTAATCTGATTTTACATATAAAATGTATGTTTATTTAATGAAACCTTTGCTATTATTATAGGCCTTCCAGTTTTGACTTTAAATCAACCATCTTTCATTGAACTCTTAGATTTGTTTCAGTTGGAGTAATAAATAATTTGATTCCTAGATTAGTCATCCCCAATCCTTTTCATCAACTTACTGATAAGTCAAAATGCCCATTTAATATAAAATTGACTATTAGCATTATTTGATCATACCTTTTGTTTCTTCCATTTTGTGAAATCATTTTGAATATATATATACATATAATCATATATATATGATTAAGTATATAACACTCATCATGTAACATCACTAGCCAGCAAAATCCTTGCCACTGAAGAGCTAAATCATCTGTTTAGGGAGACAGAACAAATATTTATGAAAAGTTGGGTCACAGCACCAAACAGTTCATGAATCAGCACATAGGAAGAGCATAATAATCACATAAAGGGTGAATAGTCTAAGAAAGGTGTCTTAGAAAGAAGTCTAGAAAAAAAAATCTCCAGTTGGATGCTGAGGAACAGTAGCAAATGTGTTACAAAAGAAAACCATGTGAGAATGAAAGAACAAAGATGCAAAGGGGGTAAATAAAAGCTGGTTGTGTCTGTTACACTTGTTTGATACACAGTTATCTTAAAGTACATATGGGAATTCTGTCAACTGAGGAGAGCAATTTCTCTGATCTCCTCATTCCTTCTGTGTAATAATGCCTTCTTTTCTTTATCCCAACTTTCTGTTCCCAAACTCACTGAGTCTTTCCCTTTTTCAGCTCTTTTGCCTTTTTTCAAATTGAGCTTAGTTTATAAAGCCAGTCACTCTAGCTTTCTTACTAGTGGCCTCCCAGAATCTCTTAAAATGGATTGCAATGATGCCTTAATTCTAGCTTGATGAAAATCATGAGCCTAAGATAAACCCAATGACTCTATGACATCAATCTCTTCGGCTTATTTTTTGAGACCATTGTACTGACTCAAAATCCTTTTAGAATCTATTTTGAGATCTTACAAATTACTCCAAATTTAATATTTCAAATATGTTTTTCCTTTCCTAATATTTTTGCAGAAGCTTGTATATGTTTTGATACTTGTAATTTGTAATTTGGCTAGTAATTATTTGATGAGCCTATTTTTAGAGATAAGATCACCAACATAAAGATTAATTTGATGAACATAAAGTCCCTGCACTCAGGAAATTCACATCTATTGTTTGGCTAAATAATATGCCAGGCAGAAAATGTAGATAAATACAAGCTATGGAAAAGGTAAACAGGATAAAATAGACTGGATAGAATTTGATATATATTAACATATTAACATATATATGCAAAGATTAGATGGGAAAGGGTATATTTACAAAGAGAAAGGAATCTATTTTCTGCAAATTTATCAGGAAAGACATTTTTGGGATGATGATATCTCAACTGAATATTAGAAAATAAGATGGAGATCAGTATAAAAAGAGCTGGTGATGAAGGTAGCATAAATATTGGAGACTATAAGGGCCTATGAAGAGGCAAGTATGTTGGTGATGCAGGGACTAAGAGTGGTACAGAGGGGCAGGCCACACAGAGCTTCACATGCAGCTTCAGAACTTGGAATTTCATGAAAAACCATTAGAAGTGTGTCAGCAGAGTAGCACCATGATCTGAATTATACTTTTGTAAAAGCTGTTATGATGGAGGTATGACGAATGTATTAGAAGAGGGCAGGAGTGGTAGGAAGGAAGGTGTTTATGGGAATATAGCATTGATAATTGGTGATAAGGTAATGGCATAATGTGGAGACCTGTAAGTATCTTCTATATGCATGTTGGTAGGGGAGAGGAAAGAACTGTGTAACATGAGTGATAGATGAGAGAAATAGTGGAATGATTAGATGCAGTGCTATTTACAGAGCTGGACAAATAAGGTGAGAAGGATTTGGGAAGCAGGTGGAACCAAGTTTGCTTTAGAAATGTTAGGTTTGGGAATCCGGTGAAGAGTTCATATCAATGCAGAGTTAGACTGTGCAAGCTTTGAATAAGCATGTCTTTCTGATCGAAACATAGATATTTCAAAACCATCATTTACTGCCAAACAGAATAGAATTACCCAAAAAAGAATATAGTTTGTTATAGTTTGCCTTTCCAATATTTTTTAAAAAGTTAAAATAATCATGCTCAAACCCTATGTGATAAGGAAATTGAGATAAGGCTTTTGAGAAGAAAGAGCCAACTGACTCAAATGATGATGAGAGAGCAGGAAAAAGGCAGTTATAGAACTGTCCACTGACTGTGGCTATCTGGAATTTGATGGGAAAAACAAGATCAGCTTTAATGATGTGGTAGTGGCCAAGGAAAGATTATAATGGAATGATTCATAGACATAGAAAGAAAGATTTTTCTGAATACTTTTCTTTAAAAGACAGACAAGTAGGAAATTGAAAATAATGTTTAAGGAGTATTTGTCATTTTTATTGAGACATTAGATCGTATTTTTGAGCTGATAGTAAATCTAATAGGAACAAAAAAAAAGAGGCAGGCATTTTTATATATTTGGGCTAAGATGCCAGTTAGAATGCTTGAATTCCATTTGGGAGTACCTGGGATTTCTTGTCTGGGTTGTGAAATGTGTGCCTGTTGCAGTAAATGTACTCATTGTTCAGTGTCTTAGGGCAAAAGCAAAATACATTGTGCTGATAAACATAGTAATTTGATATTCATATGATTGAACTAATGTATATTTCAGTGAAAAATCTAATTTTATAGGACTACAGCTTTTTGTAGGATTTATTATTTATTTCAAAGATGGCACTACAGAAAGGGAAAGAGCGAGACAAAAAGAGAGAGAAAGCAAGAGAGATTTTCAATCCCCTGATGGACTATCCAAATGTCTGCAACATCTGGGTCTGGACATTGCCAGGCCAAACCCAGAATTTAGATGCCTCTCCTGGCTTCAGATCAGTTCAGCTCTGGCTGTTATAGCCACTTGGAGAGTGAACCAACAAATGGAAGCTCTTTCTTCCTGTTTCTCCTCTCTGAAAATCTGATCTTCCAACAAGATAGATAGATAGGTAGATAGATAGATAGATAGATAGATAGATAGATAGATTAATTTAAACCCTATGGACATATTCCCCTACAACTATAATCAACCTTTCCCCCATTCTCAACATCTTCAACCTTTGCCCTCCTTGGTTACATAGTGTCAATGAGCATATTTTAAAGAAGAAAGCATTTCTGTAATCTAGGGAGAAAACACTTCAGTGGGGAAAAATTATCAGAAAGGGATTGGAAATTAGCCCCTTCTATTTTGGACAGACCAAATTAAGGAGAAAGTGCACCTAATTTTCAGATGTGAATTATTTCCATATTTTTGTATGTTAGTTATTGATGCTCAAACTTTCCAGTCCTCTTGTCCTGGGCAGAAGACACCTTCCTAACCATACTGAACAAAATTCTATATACTTTGTTACTTCAGTGATTTATTTCTTGTTTCCAATCTCAACTAGGGGGAAAAAAAAAGCCATTCTTGCTGCATATAATGTATTTTGTTGTTTTGTCATCTAGAAATAGAGTATTTAAAAAAGTAAAAATGAAATTATCAATGAGGGGAATCATAAGTTCTGGGAGGACAGCAGTATTTGCCACATAGTTATTTTGTATCCCTTAAAATCTGTCATAGTTTGCACAGACAGGAGACATAATTAAGGGTGTCAGCAGCCCAGCCATGCAGGACTTCCACACATACAAGTATACTGCTCAAAATAGCACTGTGCTTATATACCAAGAAATGTGTCCCACTCAAGGGAAGAAGGGATAAACATAAGCAAGTCATGGCAAAATAACACTATAAACAATCAAGGTAATATATGCTAAATAAATCATCAACAGTATACTTTGTAAACGTGCAAAAACCTAGGAATGCGGAGTGAAATAGGTAAATTGCACATGCAAGGAATCCAGCTGTTCATGTTGTTCATTGGAAGAGTTGGGGCAGCGTGTCTTCCAGACCATCAAAGGTGTTCTGAAAGTGAAGTTCTTAGGGCTGTGGGAAAGGGATCACATTACAGATAATCAAAATGGCCTGGATGATACTGGCAATCTTCTTAGCCTCAGATTCTCTGGAGAGTTCTTTTGTGTGTGCTGTTTTATTTTTTTTTTCTCAGTACTTTTCCTCTTATTTCTCTTCTATACTTTTTGCTTTGAAGCTGTCACCTTTCAATTCTTTATATCTGTGCTTTATTTTACCATTTCAGAAGACACACCAAGCTATTGTTTCCTCTAATTTCATACCTGCCAGTAACACTAAGGTCAGTATAAAGTTCTGGTGTCAAGAATAGCTTTGTGGTTATGTTTTAATAATACCAATGTTTTGACCAGCACTGAAAAATGTGTTGACTCACTTGTTAAGTTTGCTGTGTTTTTTTTTTATTATTGCTAAAAAAAGCTCCCTTTTTTTAGTCCTGTAAACTTAATAAAACTTTACATTTTTTCAGTCTTGTTGGCCAAGGCACAGAAGGGTTAATGGCACTATTTTCGGTGGCATCTGCGAACCATGTCAGTGCTTTGGTCATGCGGAATCCTGTGATGACGTCACTGGAGAATGTTTGGTAAGTGCCTCACTGCTTTTGAGAACACTGAATAACATTGCTAAAATCAGCTCTACAGACCCTGTGTTTCATCAGGACTTCTCAACCACTGAAGCCAACAAGCGGCTCAACAAAGGTCTTTGAGTTGATGTGGAAGCAGCCATTCTTTCATTAGCAATTCCCCCAGCATGTATTTGGAAAGGCTTTTTTCATATTAGTCTGAAGAACTGAGTTTTAATCAGATGTATCATAAAGCATAACTACTGACCAAAATGTGTATCCACCATGAATGTGCGGTTTCACTCTCCCATAAATCTACCAAAAGTAAACTGTGCTTTTAAAGTAGGAAAGGATTTATATCCCCATAATAAGAAAAGTGTAAAACATTACCTTATGAAAGACATAACTCAGTTTTTTCACATTGAAAATGAGAACATATTGCATGTTTTATTGAAGTTTTAATTTTTATTTAAACTCAATGCCATGCACAGATTAAAAAATAATAAGTACATATACTATATATGTACTCATCAGAGCTGTTGCTGCTTCTACAATCAATCAGTGCTTTTAACCAGAAAGTAAGCTCTACAAAGTGCAAAGCACTTTCAATCTTGCTAAGGAGCCTTTGGATGGGAAAATTATGCCAAATAGATCATTCTGATTAACTCAAGGACATGTTAGTCTTACATTGTCTGACATGACATGAAACTAGAAACAACACTTCTCATTTCATTAGTCTTGAGAAACACATTTGAAGCTGTGCCAATTTAGGAGGATATCCTACTCTCATTTCCCTCAAGAATTTGAGGCAAACTCTAATATCAGTAATTCCTAATGTTCTCTCATTTGCTCATTTCCCCTCACTTTCTCTGCTATGTAAAAGCTTCTGGGAAGATACAAAATGAGAATTCAGGGTTTTTGTTTTGATGTAATTTAGCATTTAGGTTTATGGATGTTCTTTTTGTTTTGCATATATTAGATTTTATTTAACTGCATTGCAATATAAAATCTGATAGCCTTAATTTGTGAATCAGTAGATTTTTCAAATAACATTTTAAGAATAGAAAAAAAGTAGTTTTCATTTTAATTATGTCACAAGTCTTTTAAAATATACCTTGGGAAAAATATCAAATTATCCTTTAAAACTTTACTAACATGGAATAAGAAATACTCAACTCAAAACTGATGCAAAAAAAAAAAAAGTACAAAAATAACCCTATCACCATACCATATGTTCTTGGTCCATTTGTTAGTGTGATTTGCTCAGAACAGATGCCATTTCTTAGAATATTTTTTCTCTGTTAGCACAATTTTGTAAGAAAGAAGTGACAGAACTGTGGAATCTGAGAACAAGAAGTTTGGAGTCTGAAATTCAGTAACCAGGGACAGAATTTTGTACTCTGTGTATTCCTGGGTAGTTGGCGCAGATGCAGTAATGTAAAATCATACCAAGGAATTTCCATTTTGAACACCTCGATTCAAGTGTAATCCATGAAGAAAAGGTATTCAAATGATGCACATCAATGACAGTCTGTCTAAAAAATTATTTGCATATAAAACAGAGTATTGGAGAGCAAAAGAGGGGAAGAGATTGAGAGAAAGGTCCCATCTCTCTGGTACTCCTCAAATGCCCATAATAGCTGGGAACGGGCCAGCTGAAAACCCAAGAACCAAGAACTCTATATCTAGGTATTAGGGACCTAAACAACTGGGCCATATTCTGCTGCCATAGCACAAGGAAGCTGGATCTGAAGCGGCGTAGTGGAGACTTGAACTGGAGCTTTGGAATGGAAATGTCAGTGTCACAACCTGTCCCTAGGCTGTGTCACAACACCAGAGGCATGGACTTTCTTACTGCTCAACCTTCCTTTTTCTTTTACTTTTAGCTTTTTATTTTTTCCAGTTTTCCATTCCACATATTAGCTAACCGATTTATGGAAATTAGAGGTAAACTGTTTTTCAGCTTAGCTTGGCTTTGAAATAAAATGGTCAGTCAACTGAGATAAATTTTTTACATTAGAGCAAAACTCACACCTCTGCTCCAACTGGACTGTATAAAACATTATTTTAGGGCCTGGCATGATGGCTCAGTGGCTAAATCCTCGTCTTGCATGCACTGGAATGCCATATGAGCAGCAGTTTGTACCCAGCTGCCCCACCTACCATCTAGCTCTCTGTTTGTGGCCTGGGAAAGCAGTAGAGGACAGGCTAAAGCCTTGGGCCCTTGCACTCTTGAGGGAGTTCCAGAAAAAGTACCTGGTCTCTGGCTTTGGATCATCTTAGCTTGGGTTATTGCAGCCACCTGGGGAGTGAACCAGTGGATGGAAGATCTTATTCTCTCCTTTTCTCCCTAAATCTACCTAACGAAAATAATATAAATCCTAGAAAAGAAGCCAAAATGTTATTTAAATTCAAGGTGCAGTGGAGATGACTCAGGATGCATCCATGTTCACAAAGGAGGCCTGTGTGCACCCTCCTTCCTGTGGCCCGTATGATCTGTAATGTGAACAGTCGTCTGGCGTGTGCCTCATGGCAGGACACCTGCAGAAATAAACAACCATCAGACTGAAAGGTTCATCTTCTTTGGTTTTGATTCTCATTATATTGATGGACTAATGCTGTTTTATATTTTCAATATAAAATTTTCATATACATTTAAGAAAATAGATCACTTGAAATTATAAGAAAATTTTATATATTATTGCATCTTAAACTGATAGTTGAAGACAAGATCTTTCAATTATGCAATGTTTTTACTTGAATTCTACAAAAAAAATTTCAGTCTGGTTAAGGCAAGATCAATTTTATGGTCCTTTAAAAACTCACAAGTATTGGCAGATTTCATTTTATTTAGTTTTATTTAAAATTCATCAAATTTAGTCTTGACTGCTGCCAGTACTAAATTTAAATGCTATGATCTATTTTTAAAGGTTTGGCTAAATAATTCTGAGAGAAAATTTAAAGAAAGGAAAAAAAGCCCTTTTCATTTAAATCATCAGTTATCACAAAGTACCTGTTCACCTGTAATTGATGAAACTGGCATGGATTTTAACGTCTTAAAAATTTTATTAATTGGATTTTAGCACAGTTTTTCCACAGGATGTAAATGAGAGGTACTGTGGATTAAATAATTGAGTTATAACTTTAAGATATTTCCCTAGGTAAATAAATCTACAATCCTGTTATCCTAAGACGTTGTGTTTAAATGAATATTTACTTGTATTTGATTTCTACAAATTCATTCATGAGATAGTCCAAATTTAAATTGTTTAGAATATATTGTAATAATAATTTAAAATAGTTCACTGATTTATATCCTACCATTCCAGTGCTCACACAGACTAGCATATTTTTAGTGTCGGTTTAAAATATATATTTTGTTAATTGCCTATGCAAATTCTTTTATTGATCATAAAATGAAGGTTGTGATTGCCTGAAGTTTGTTAAATTTTCAATATGTGGAAAATTATAACTGTATATATATGGATTGATATAAAATCATATTTTAGTAATAAGCCCAAGATTTTAATTAGAATTAGATATATTTTATTATACTAATGTTGCCAGGAATTATGGATACATGACGCCAAGACATTTTAAAATTCATCAAGATGCGTCACTAGAAGCCTCAAGATAATTCCACTGTGTTATTTATTGAATGGTTCATTTTTATACTAACTGTGAGGGGTTTTAAGAACACATGCTGATTTAAGTAATATATTTTAATTCACATGAAGAATTTAAGACATAAATTACCTTTATTTTTGAAAAAATTGGGTCTGGAAATTGCTAATTGGCAGAAAAATATAATTTCAGTTTTCTTTTTAAATGTGTGAAGAAAATATACACCTCATTTAATTATAGATTGTTGTATGCTTAATATATATTTTTTAATTTTCTCAAGGTTCAAGCAATATATTCACAAAGATAATGGAGGAAAAGCTTATCCAACCCATCTGAGTACAATAAGTTCGAAATTACTGTAAGAGGTCCCAGTCTGAGGAGATTTCAATGATTAGCCCCAGCTCTCATTAAATGGGCATGTTTATGCTGGACAATTTAATTTCATCTAGAATCAGCAACAATATCCATTAAATATGTGTTTTTAGGGATCTTTTCATGCACTTACACACACACACGCACACACACTCATTCCTTAGGAATTAAAATTTAAAGAGGGAATTATGTTTGAGTAATGAAAGCAATGATGGTAAATTTCAGACATCTATTTGTAAATATGCCTATACTGAAATGCATATGTGGTTTTATAAGTTGGAAATGGAATCAACTTTCAGTGCCATTTCCCCACTCTAAAACTGACCAGTTAATATTGAGAAATTAATCTTCCTCCTGGGAAAAAGACTGATGACCTTACAGACCTGACTTTAGGCAGCATACTGCTGCATGAGAGCTAAATAGTAGTCCTATGTTCTTTTGTTTGTCAGAGCTGCGAAGACCACACAGGTGGCCCCTACTGTGATCAGTGTCTTCCTGGTTTCTATGGTGATCCAACCAAAGGAACTCCTGAGGATTGTCAGCCCTGTGCCTGTCCGCTCAACATCCCATCCAACAAGTGAGTCGCAGACTATTGGGGTCTGTGTTTGGGAGTCTTAAGAAGGTATTGTAAGTTTTCTAAATATTTGGCTCTAATTCTGGTGATTTAATGTGTGCATAGAACTCAGAATTTCTATATCAGTTCTATAGAATAGACATGCTTTAGGCAACACGTGTGTGCCTTTGCATACATACATACAGATACACTCACCAAGACACACACACCATCATGTTCATAACTTATTAAAAAGACAATGCATGTAAATGCTGTTCTTGCCTACTCTCACATTATTTACTTGTAATTCTTGCATATGTCAGAAAAAAATTTCATAAAGTAAGATGAAAATATTTATTTGACTTACCCTTAACTAGAAAATTCTCATAGTTACACAGTTGATTTTCTAATTCCTTGATTGGCACATGTTGTTTTATAAATAATGAGGGGTATTAAACTATGGTGATCACGATTATCTTTATGAAACTATTTAGATTCATAAAAGCATTAATTCAAAATTTATAGTATTCTCTGACTAACCGTGTTTCATAGTTTTGTTTTGATTTTTCACTGAGATCAATAATTTTTTTCTTTTAAAGATTCATTTATTTATTTTTACATTTATTATTATTATTATTATTATTATTTTATGGTGCCATTCCATGGGCTCCTGGTATTTCTCTTATCCCTTCCCCACTTCCCCCCACCACCACCTAGTTCCTCTATATCATTACTAAAATATAGTTCTTCACACACAGTCATATGTCTATCATTGCGGGCATGGACAATGGCAGAGAGTCCAGCATCCTATTGTCAAGATATAGGAAACAGTTTCATTGTAAGTCCATCTTTGTCTGGAAGTAGAAATGCATACTACATAGTATCCTCACATCTGGATGTTAGTCTCCATTTCACAGCTACTATGCATCCCCTCAAATGAAAAGTTATAATACAAAATCAACAATAGAAAGAAAATTAGAAATTTGCAATGCCATGAAGTTAAATAACATGTTACTAGATATGACAGTCTCCATTACACAGCTACTATACGTTCCTTTAGCCACAAAACAAAATCAACATTAGGAAGAAAAAAGAAATGAACAACACCATGAAGTTAAATAACATGCTGTTAAATGACTAACGTGTAGCTGAAGAAATGAGAATCAAAAACCTTCTTGAAGAAAATGAAGTTACTGTATGATCTATGAGTCATAGAATGATTTAATCAGAAGAAAGTGTTTTGAAGAGATGAAACTAATCGAAAACATGTGATATAGTTTCCACTGATATTTGTTGGTGGAATGTGTCTCTTCTAGACAACAAATAGATGCTGTTTTGTTTTTAATCCAGTCTACTAATCTATGACTTTTGATTGAGCTTAAGCCATTTACATTCAGGGTTAATATGTATGGGTGGTACTTTGGTCCTATCATTTTAGGAATGGGTTGTTCATTGGTTTAGTCTTCTGTTGTCATTTTACCAGGATGTTCTTCACATTTGCCTTTGATTTTGGTAGGTGCTATTCCTCTTATCTGTCAAGAGAGCATCTTTTTTGTTGTTGTTAAGGTTAATTAATATATTTATTTGAAATTGTCGACTTGTCTACATAAATTCAACTCCTGAGAATTTTTTTGGTTTCACTCTCTGCTGCTCTCCTTTTCATTATTTTTTTGGGGGGGGGGTTTATTTATTTATTTATTTGTTTAATTACATTGCATTATGTGACACAGTATCATAGGCTCTGTTGTCTTTGCAACCATTCACTTCTGGTTCGAGCAGGTCCCAAGATTAGAGAGACACCAGGTGCTATATAGCTAGGTTGTTTGTGGCATTACCTTTCTAGAACCTGTTGGATGTTAGGTCTGAATGCCACACGGACCAATTTTAACCCCTAGGATGTCACAGTTGGTATTATTTTCCTGCGGGACCAGTGCAATTCACGGAACTCACTAAGTCACTAAGTTCTCACAAGCTCAGCACATGTGCAGTTCACTGCTGTCCCCTGCAGTCCTAAATCTCTTGCCACAGTGTAGAAAATGGCGCCTGACATGCCACTACTAGAGTTCTTGATCTGCTGGCCGTCAGATCTGAGGGCTACCCAGTCCTGTCTTGGGTAGAACCTGTAGAATGCCATGTTGCTGCAGTTCACCGAGTCAGAAAGGAATTCACTCCCAGCTCAGTGTATGCTCAGTCCTTTCCCTTGCCTTTGCCTCCTTAGGCAAAATGGCATCCAATTCAGCTCAAGGGGACTGACTGGGCTGTGAAATTCACCCTGTTCTCGCACTGCCTGTCTGGGATCTGCTGCTCTGTCTTTGCTGCTAGTCAAATCAAACAGAGCAGCAGGACAGATGGTTCTTTGTCTGGGTTCACCTCCCAAGCTCCCAGAGAAAGTCCCTTCCCACCTGGTTGCTGGTGAAGTTCCGGCTGCTGGTGGAGTTCAAATGTTAGCTGAATGCTACTGGAATATCAGTCACCGCAACACACCGCAACACCACACCGTTGTATCCGCTGCTCTCCTGTGTCTGTCAGTCTCCAGGCATCCCTCTGCTGTTGTTCTGTCCTCTCCTATTTCCTGGAATGTGTCATCTCTGCTTCATCCTGATTAAATGTTTTTCCCTCTGTTTATACATGTCCTTACCCTATTCCGCCATCTTGATTCTCTCGAGATCATTAATTTTTTAAAATGCACTTTTAAATGATATAAAAATATAATTTAGCTTCATCTTCCCCTTTACATTTTAGGAGAATGCTGTTTTAGCTGCTGTGGCTCATATATATGCATGGCAACCCTCTAAGAAATTAGATCCTAAAGCAAATTTTTATAAAATGGACACACAATTTTTAGTCAAAGCTAAAATGTTTCACTAGTAAGCAATGTTAAATAACTGTACATTCTTCATGGTGAACTTTCTTAGGTGCTTAGTAATTATGACATACTTTCCAAATAATTAAAATTATCAAGTAGCCATAACTTTAAACATCTTTTATATTTATTGGTACTAGCTAGTTGTTAATTCTGTAGTGATGTTTGGAAAGGGAAAATTTAAATTACTTTTAAACTGTTGTTTGTTAGGTACAGTCTTTTAAAGTGAAGTTTCCAGCAAGCAGTTTGTCCTCAGAGATCTTACTGAAGGTGATCCTAGTTAAAATAGTCCTTTATTGGTAGTTTTAATGAATGCTAATAGCTAAAGACTTCAAAATAGTTCTGTCAAAAAAAACAAAGTTCTGTAATTAAGTTTACAAGTCTTCATTATATGTGTGTCTCCTACAATTCAGTGTATCCCCTTCTTTCAGAATTTTCTACCTTATTTATTTATTTATTGTTTGGGAAAGAAAAGACTGAACCAGTATTTAGTGAATTATCCCTCTAACCAGGCATTGTGCCAGGCAATATCTTTGTTATTTAATATATTTTTTAAAATAAGAAATAAGATGCATATTATAGATTAATAGATGAAGGTGCTAAATGGGAACGTGGCATCATTACCCCAGAGCTAGGATTTCTGGCTTTAACCCTCAGTTCTGCACTAACTTTTGCCAAGTTATATAAACTCTTCCTCAGTTTTTTGTTTTGTTTTGTTTTGTTTTGTTTTTGTTTTTGGTCATTGGTTTTGTAAAGTGTGCTCACTTAGAGGGTCATTGTGTAACTTATATATTTAAAATATGTGAGACACCTAAAACAGTGATTAGCCGTGGTGGGCTCTATTAAAGGCTGGCTCTTGCTAAGTTACCTGTTCAGGGTATGAGGTATTGTGTCACACTGAGACGTGTCCTCCTGTGTGTATATGCTCTGCAGTCTCCATGGCAGCCATCTTTTAAGAAATATACACATTGAATGTTAAGTGAGAGAGAGCTAGAGAGAATTGATTGACCCGCCGGATAACTCAAGGTCCTGAGAAAATCGTGGTGCATTTCTATTGCTTAGGGTACACGCCTCGAAAGCATGAAACGTGAGGTAAGCTGCCAGGTAACAGGAAGTAGATAAAAGAGAAATCTGTGAGACAATAATGATGGAAAATAATTAGGTTTAATTCCCAATTAATGGAGTCTCAGCCACAAGTTGGCCATAGCGGGACACAAAACTCTCTTTTTGGCATGTAAGTAAATGGTCGCACCACATAATGGAAAATCTGTTCATTCACCATGGCTGAAAGGCATCATCCAAACCAGCCACCTACTCATTGATCCACACTAACTCTTACTAAGAAAAGCAGTAACACTGTATGTGATCATTCGCTCACTTCATGCATTTCCTTCCCAGAGAAAACAGCATAGGAATAGTGTCAATTCATCAGAGATAGCTACTTATTGAATCATGCTATCCTTATACTAATATTTTAGAAGTATATCATTTCTTGAGATTGTAGATGGGACACAATCACATGTTACACGGAAGAGAAAGTGTTAGGGAAAGGGTTTTGGTTGTAGAATTCATGATCTATTCTTCTGTCTGTTTTCACTGAGTTTCCGTTTGACAGTGGATTCTAATCCTATTACTCCTGAAACTAAGCAATAATTGACTCCCATCCTTCAGTGCCAAACACTTTGGAATCTCAAACACCAATAATAATGTTTTTATATATACATATATGTTTTTACATATTTATATATGTATAAATATGTATATATGAAACATTACTATTTGTATATATTTATATACATAAATATATACATATGAAAATGTTTCATATATATATTCCAACTCAGTATAATCATATTAAGCTTGATGTTGTAAAATACATACCACTATAACAATGCCTGTCATCAAGTAAAAAATATTTCATTTTCAAGGTGCTTTTCATTGCAATGTGTAATTGCTAAGCTATTAAATAATAATTTTTCTCTTTAGTAGTAGAATTAGGAATCTATTGATAGCATATTTTACATTCCAGCTTTCATCGTGGCCTTTTTATAAGTAGAAAGAGGAGATAGTGACAAGTATACTTCATTTATAAATTCTAGAGTTCTGTTACTGAATTCTAAGGTACTTCAAATTTTTAAAATAATTTAGGATGTTATTATTT